TATATATATATAATGCTTAGTAAAATTGAATATAATGACTCACAAGCATATTTTGAGTTGATTTTAAGCTGAAATAGATCCAAATAACATAATTTGAGCCTGTTAGGTTTCAATTTTGAGGGGGATCAAGCCGATTCAATGCTAAAACAAATCCAAATAACTCTATTTGAGCCGGATCAAGATCCATTCAATTTCGAGCTGGCTTGACTAGTAATCGAATATAATTATCCACGAGCAGATCCCAAGCCACTCTGAGCCGACCCCGGCTCGGCTCCCAAATTAGATCATTACCAACCCTAATTACATGAAAGATTTGCGTAGTATAAATCAATAAAAATTTAAAATCTTAAGTGTGAGACATATAAATATAATTAATGTTGCATATGTACCCAATTAAGCTAACTCTATGAGCTAAAATTAAATTTTTGCAGAGAAGATTTTAAAAATTATGCAAAAGTGTGTTATGAAGAGTTTGGAGACAAGGTCAAGCATTGGATTACTATAAATGAGCCATGGACATTCTCCACTTTTGGATATGGTGAAGGAACATTTGCCCCAGGTAGATGCACACAAGGCCTTCCTGATCTTAGTTGCCCAGGTGGAGGAGATTCTCTCAGAGAGCCATATACTGTTTCTCATAATATGCTCTTAGCCCATTCTGAAGCAGCAAAATTATATAAAAATCATTATCAGGTATTTAACTCTCCTTTTTTTTATTTCTTCTTCCACTTTTAATGTATTTACATATATATATATATATATATATATAACATATATAAATTTTTATGTAAATTAATTAATTTGCAGGCCAAGCAACAAGGGAAAGTGGGTATCACCTTAACATCATTCTGGTATGAGCCATATGATAATAACCCTAGTGACAAAGAGGTACAACAGAGAGGCCTTGAGTTTAATCTTGGATGGTAAGTAATTAATACACAATACATATCTAACCTTCATGGATTCTTTATATAATTATGGAATATTTACATACATACCCAGCAAAAATTATTTATTTATCACATCTTTGTCATAAACCTATGCATGAAAATTTGTTTCACTTTTAAAAAAGATAATGATGATGGTATTTTTATGTGATGTTAAAGGTTTAGTATGCATGTAAATATGAATGTTTAGGTGTTGGATAAGTAAATACATAAGAATCATATGGTTTGCATGTAAATGCCCTTATTATTTAAATATTTTACGTTTTGTTGTAATTAATTGACAGGTTTATGGATCCACTGGTGTGTGGAGATTATCCATTCTCAATGAGATCTTTGGTAGGGGAGAGGCTCCCCAAGTTTAGTGCCCAAGAATCAGAAAAGCTCAAGGGTTCTTTTGATTTTATCGGGCTTAATTGCTACACTGCTCGATATGCTCAGAGTGTTCCCTTCCCAACCAAATTACAAACATACAACGACGATATATATGCACATATATTAGGTAAGGTTTTATCATTTTTCTTATATTTATAAGATAATAATTAATTATCTTTTTTCTTTTTCTTCTTTTATGTCCGGAATCCGGTTGTATTCAGATGAGGTTGTACGCATTTTACAAAAATCTGTACAACGTGTGCAAACTAATTGTGCACAAAGCCCGGACGAACCTAATTATGGCGTGTATATTGTTTATATAGAATTTTAAAGTTTGAACTGAAGCGTTTGTATTTGATAATAATATTCTTTATTCTATTATGATCTAATTCGGATCTTTTTTTAAGGGAAATTTACACACACACAATTGTTTGCATGTAAATATTTAACACATAAAATTCAGTATTGAAATAATATGCATGAAAAAGTGTATTTCATTTGGAAGAAGTTAGTGGTAAATATGTAAATGTATAAGAATAGTGTGGTACGTATTATTCTTACATTTAAGTGTGTCTGTAAATAATTTATTTTATTGAAGTAATATGCCGTCTAAAATCTTTGCACATTCTCCAAATTATTGCAGCTGAAAAAAATGGCGTCCCAATTGAGCATGCAGAGGTAAAACATACTGCTAAAACTCCAATTTCACATTATATTTTATTTTAAGTTCTTATTAATATTAAAGTTTCTCCAAAGTAATTGTTATAATAGATTTAAGAAATTTAAATAAAATTTATAATAATCTATTTTATTATTAACTTGCAGCCTGGAAGTTGGATCAATGTGTATCCCAGAGGACTCAGAGAACTTCTTCTATACATAAAGGAAAGATATAGCAATCCTGAAATTTACATCACTGAAAATGGTTGGTTAGTACTAAAGAAATTCATATATATATATATATATATATATATATATCTGTGTGTGTGTCCGCACGCTTGTATGCCTGCTTGCATGCATGTGTCGTGTGAAATATATAAAAATTATGTGGTACTTTTGTAAATTTTCTCTATTATTAATTTTTATAAATTTTATTTTGATTAGATATTCTTTTTTAAAACTTGATAGGAGTAATGGAGAAGGATGAGGACTTACCGGTCTCTGAGGCGGTCATTGATCCTCACAGGACTGAATATCTCACTCTACACCTTCATGAACTTGCTGAAGCATTGAGGTAATCAATTCATACTTAAAAAAAAAAAAATTATAGAATTAAGATTTACGTATATGCCACTCAATTTGTATGCATTTATGTAGCTAACCACTAAACTTCAATTTTTGTATCTCTATTTAACTTTTTAAAAGTTAAAATAGTGTTCCTTTTGATGTGAGGTGAAAAATCGGGGATATAAATGTAAAAATAAAATAAAATTTTAGTTAGATGTGAAAATATATTAGACTTGGGTGGTATATTCAAATTCACCCAATAAATGGCTGCATCATGTGGACATTCTTATAAATTTCATTATGAATTTAATAATTGATGTTTTAATGCACCAATCTTTTAGATATGCACCTAATGATGATACCCAATTTATAAGAGAAATCTAATGCCCAAAGTTTTGACATTTACACTTATAATACCTTGTCTAAAAAATTTACGGATGAAACGATGTGTCATTTTAATGAATTGAGAGGTATGCATGTCTATATAAGTTTTTATGTGTTAGACATGTAAATACACATTTTGTGGTGTGAATGTAATTGCCCAATATATGTGTATGTGTGTGTGTGTGTGTGTGTGTGTGTGTGTGTGTGTAATTAATGATAAATATTATGAATATATAATAAAATTAAATAGATTTAAGAAATTTAAATAAAATTTATAATAATAAAATTTAATATAACAGTAAAGTGTCAAAATAGTCCCAACTATTTACATGTGACCGCTTTAGAAGTGCCGAATAGTTTTTTAACTATTTTAAAAAAGAGCTAGCCTTTATAGACCTCCATGGGGATTATTTCAGCGATAATTTAAAGAGTTTGGGAACTATTTTAACACTTCTATAAACTCTAATACTATTTTTTCACCTCAGTTTGTGGATTCAATAGTGAGCTGAATAAACAAATAAATATTTGCAGGTTGGAAGCAAATGTAAATGGATATTTTACTTGGTCTTTATTGGATAATTTTGAATGGAATTCTGGCTACACATCTCGGTTGGGGCTTCATTACATAGACTTCAAAGACAAAACATTGAAGAGAAATAGTAATGGAGAGCTAATAGTGCCAGAAAGAACCAGAAGTAAGAAGAACTCAACACTTTGATTCAAAAGATTTTCAAAAATTGAGAGGAAGCCTCGAATGATCTTTGACCCCAAAATTGAGTGATAATGAGGTTTGCAAAGATTATATTATAATTATTGTTAAATAACTGGTTTATGTTTATAACTATAATGTATTTTTTCTTAATGAATTGTTTGTAATAAGTGGAATGCACTAAATTTTCTTAATAGTGTGGTTTTTAGTTTGAATAACTTAGGGTTAAAGTCTTATGATGGATGATCATAAATCATCTTTAGTTTCATTGAATGAAAAAAAATATATCATCCTCCTATGAATCTGGTTACTAGTATGTTGGACGAAGTTACTAAAAGAATGGAACTTATTAGTGTTGTTTTAATTAAGTTCATTGTTGATTGTAAGGTAATATGTAGAAGAGAACCCTCTGCATGGAACATTAATGTAAAAAATATATGCACATAAGGCATGATATCGATCAATTGTTGGATTCTCGCTCAACTTAAAAATTTGAAGGATCTAACTTATTATTAGATATGTTCAACATTATCTTCTTCTTCTCCTTCATCTTCTCTACATATACCTTTTTCTGACAAGAACTCATCATCATACAAAGGAGTATATAATAATGTAATCATTATCTTAACTGACAATCATCAATTGTTTCACAAATAGATGCATGAATATGATTATTCTACATTAGGTTGGGCTAGTTATATAAGGAAGGATCTAATATTGGAATGCATTCCAACTTGAAAAAAAAAACTATTTTGTTCGCTTCTATTTGTAGGAAGTAATTGTTTGAGATAGAAAATTTCAATTACTTTGTTGGCCAATTTTAAGAGTTGCCTTTAATTAGCTTTTCTTTAATTAATAATTAGAGCATAAAGGATAATTCATCAAACCATTATAGTTGTTTTTCTTGAAATCATTACAACATAACCAAAAGTTCTTAATGATAAGCCAATAATTGACAAAAGAAATTTGACATTAGAAATAATTAAGAGTCATTAAAAGTATTTAATGAAAGATTGAGCTTATGTATAAGCTCAAGAATGTATCAAACCAACTAATGTCAGAAAAAATCATATCTTCTCAATCTTGTAGGTGAATTTAATTGGTTAAGCTAAAATAAGAAAGAATCAAGCAAGAAATGCTCAAATATTATATTGGAAAATGTAGTTATTAAAGCATATCAACATACTAAGGCGAGGAGCAATGAGATTATCAATAATTAAAGGTAATACAATTTCATTATTCATTTTAAGGATTTCCACTTTATTCTAACAACATAGAATGAGGTTAGAAAATTTCACCTAAATAAAGAAAAGTCATTAATGGATTGTTTGAAGTGTTATGACAAATTCCTCAAAATAAATCACATGCATTGATAACCAAGAAGTATCAATTTGTTAAGAGAATAAAATTGCTTGAAAAAATTATATATTTTTTTAAAAATTTAATATGATAACAATTAAATGTTTAGTAATTCATGTAATACTTGTTGATCCTGGGATACTGCTAATATGCACAGTACAACACTAATTCAGATTATATTTCACTTATATTTCCTTACTTTGCAACAAAACCAAAAACTTGATCCTGAAAAAAAAATTAGAATTTAACTTTTAATTTATATATATTGGGATACTACACAAGTAAATTTATCGTTATCAGTAATATAGTACTTTTTGATTAAAACATGAATATTGAAACTGAATATCGAACCCACAGGGAAGATATGCAATATGCACTTTTTGGAAAACTTTCTATTTTTAAAAAGACAATTATTTAAACTAAAGAAGTTTTCGCAGTAAAGGAAGTTTAACCATTTTTGTTAATTTTAATATTTTGACAAAAACATAACAAATTTAAAAAGATAACTTGAGTTTTTGTAGAAGAAAAACACTAAATTTGAAAATATCTTTCTTCTTGTTATGAATCAGTAATAAGTATAGAAATTCTGTTATGGAAGTATGCAAATTGTGTTGTGCCAAATATGAGCAATAATATTCTTTACCCTTAGTAGAGATGCTATAAAGAACATTGGCTAATTTTTATTTTAAAGAGTTCTGAAGACCGGCTAGGCAGGGAAGATACTAGCTCTCACTCTAGAGTTCCCTCAACTCCCTCCACTTAAGACCTAATATCTCGTATCAGAACCTAAAGTAATAAACAAAGTTGGGGGCTTTAACCTGTCACTTTAAAGTCCTCTAACTCTACACCCTTCAATGAATATTTCCCTAGTTATTTGCACTCAATCATATGAACTACATTCTCATTCATACAACCTCATGTGATTCTTTCCAATTGTTGACTGAGA